GCGCCGACCTTTAGGTCTAACAGCGGCCCCCCCTCAAGGCGCGCGATACACGACCGGTAACACCGCAGGCGAGACGCGTCCCACTGCGGTTGGTGAGCGGATCAGAGGCGCCAGAGGCGGCGGCGGCGGAGCCGGCGGTGGCGGCCGAGGCAGTGGCGGCGGAGCCGGCGGCGGCAGCGAGAGAAGGGACGGCGGAGAAGCCTTGCATGCAAGACTGGGCCTCCACCGACTCTACCTCCGATCCAAGGGTCAAGGCGGCCCGCCATGAATCTTTAGGCTTTAGCCGTGTTTTCTGGCTGGCGTCCCGTATGGCCCATCTCGCGAGCCGTCGGGCGATCTCGAGCACGACACGCCTGTCGGCACTTGGAGCACTTGGAGTGCAGTCATTAACCTCACATGGCTTTCTCTTTGTTTTTTCCGCGCGCGCCCCACCCCGGCCGGGAGAGAGGGGAGTGACAGTTTGGGACGGCGACAGCCCGAGTATGTTGAGTCCTGGCTCAACAACGCAGATAACAAGAGGGGGTGGTCCGGCTCCCAAGTCCGGCTCACGCGCCTCGAGCTGACCGATCTACCGCACTGGTCACTTCCGCCCCCTCGCTCCCAACCCATCCACCCCGCCCCCGGCCATTCTTCTTTTTGCATTCGCGGGTAAAACTGTCCCACTCGAGCTTTGTGTAAAGGCGATTGGCTACCCATGCTCCACTTCCCGGGCGCCCAGGTGTCCTTGCGCGGCAAGGATAACGCGTCGCTCGTGGTCGTCGGCGCCCACCATTTTGGCGGTGACCCTAACGACCCGATCTTTCGCTCCGTGCGCAGCATCACCTGGCAGGGCGTGATATTGCTCGAGGCGAGCCCTCCCGTCTCTCGTGAGTTGAGGAAGCTTTGGAAGGGTGGGAGCACGGCGTCCTTCGCCACGCCAGCTGACGACGTCCACATCGTCAACGCTGGTGTATGCACCAAAGACGCAAAAGGAGCGCTGCCTTTCTACTCCTTCGTCGGCAACAACTCATTTGCAGAGGAAGCTGACGGTCTGCTCAAACGCCAAGTGGGCGGGCATGACGGACTGCCATACTGGCGAACCCAGATCGGCTCTTTCGACGGAAGCTTCGTGATGAAGTGGTCGGAGCACATGCTGCGCAAATACACGTCGCTCGGCCCCGACGGGGTCCTACCGCCGCTGATGAACCGCTACGTGAAGGTGGAGAACGTGCGGTGCCACAGTCTAGAGCGGGTCCTACGGCATCCCGGCCTGCGAGGAGGCAGACCCGCCCTGCTGGTCATTGACACGGAATCTCTCGACTGCCGCATTGTTGCCTCGCACGACTGGTGCGAGCCAGACAGGTCGCCAGAGATACTCATTTTCGAGCACATTCACTGTTCCACAAGTGACTTCGACGCGGCCAAGGATCGACTCAGCCTAAAGACGTGCGAGCACGCGCGCGACCAGTATGTTCTACGAGCAAGAGAACGCGAGAATGTGCTGTTTGTTCGCCAGCCATTGGCGGCTGGCACCGGCGCGGGAAGCTCGAAAGTCCGATGAGTTTTTGTAGAGAGAGTATTTTTTGACGTAATGAAGGTAGACGCATGTGGATGGGTTTGCCACTACGTGGTAACATCAAAATCCAGTGTGCAAATCGACTTAGCCGAAACAGCTGACAGGCAGACAGAGAGCATACAAGTTCAATACAAACGAGGGCTGCGCTGGTCGCCGCCGCGCACCCACACGAGCTAGATGGAAGATGGTCCCACAGGACCCTCACCTCTCGCAGACGACCGATGAGTAGTCCCCGAATCCGCAGAATCGGCAGAGAGGAAGCCCCCCTGCGTTGCAGCCGAGACCGCCAGACTTGCAGCTCGGGTCGTAAAAGCAAAGCTCGAAAGGGTTCGCCGTGCACCGTCCAGGGATGCAATCCCGTGGGTCATTGTCGAGAGGAACTGACTCGGCCGGCCGCGCTGCGAGTCGACATGCACTGCGACAGGCCACAGCACCCGGCACATTGAGAACAACCGCTGTCTGCGAGCACCGAACACGGCAACTCCGCAAAAATCGAGCAGGGCAAGGCCACGGCCGCTCCTGCAAAGTGACACATCTGATCGCACGGCGGTGGCGGCGAGGGTGGGGGCGGAGAGAGCGGCGGCGTAGAGGGCGGCGGCGAGGGCGGCGGCGGCGTGGGTGGAGGAGGGGAGGGTGGTGGCGGTGAGGGTGGAGGAGGGGAGGGTGGCGGTGAGGGCGGCGGCGAGGCCGGTGGTAGCGAGGGTGGTGGTGAGGAGGGCGGCGGCGGCGGCGGCGGCGGCGTGGGTGGAGGCGGAGAGGGTGGCGGAGGGGCGGGAGGTGGCGGCGTGGGAGGCGGCGGCGAGGGCGGCGGCGAGGGCGGTGGTGGCGAGGGCGGCGGTGGAGACGGCGGCGGTGAGGGTGGTGGTGAGGGTGGTGGTGAGGGCGGCGGTGCGGGCGGCGGCGTGGGAGGCCACAAACGGACACTCTACCGACCTCTACACCTCTAGACAATCCACTCCGACTAGCATACGGTGTTGGCCCGACCGCCCTGCGACCCCAGCTACCAGCTGGCGCCGCTCGTCCCGGCTGGAGGCGCCTGGGGCGCCCAAAATCGCGGAGCCGGCGACGTCCTCCGGCCAGCAACCGGATCGGGCGTCCGACCCGCCCCCTCGGCGACCCGAGATGGTATCCCCGACCCCCAAGGCTTGGCGCACCGCGGGAGGGGGGCAGCCCGGCCACCCTGCACCGCCCAGGCCGCCTCTGCGAGCCCAGGCGCGCCGTCGAGAGTGCCGACGCGATGTCGACGATTTTGGCCTGCGAGACGGGGGCGAGGAGCGGTGTGAGGGCGCCATGTGCCTGGACGACGGGCTACTTGCGCGTCTGTGCTGACGAGAGTGCGGGAGATGCTGCCGTTGTGCTGACCAGAGATTACGCCAGCGGTAGCAGTGCTGCCTGGGGACACAACAACATTGCTCGTGGCCGAGCTGGCATGAACCGCCGCACCAGCCTCTCCCCTCTGCGGCGCTGCAGCGGTGCTTCGGATCGCGTCGAGCACTGCGCCTGTATCGTGCTTGAGCATGGCCTCGAGCGTACTGAGGTCGGCTATCCCGAATTCGTTGAGCAGGCGCTCCAGCACAATGCTGAGCTGCGTCGGTGCCATGTGTCGACGTGTCCAAGAGAACGGACGTCGCCGAAGTCCTTCATAGTTCACGCCGAAAAGTACGTCTAACGCCTCCTGCTAGCTGGGGCACGCTCCACGCGGCTGTGGGCAGCGCTCCAGCTCGATTAGGGCGCTTTTCACGCGAGAATGCCACGCTCGTGACCGAAGGCTACGCCTACGGCCCCGTCGTGCGACTCTAGCCCCGTACACGCCGCTCTTCCGGTGGTGTGCCTGTGATAGTGCTAGCACGCGCCAGTTCGCACCTGTGTCGAGCCTGTCTGCTGTGACAGTGAGTTGTTTTGTCTAAATTCTTTCTTTTTTCGCCACTCTCCCTTCCGAGCGAAAATGAAAAAGAGAAGAAGGAAACACGCGGGCTCCAAGCTGCAAAGCACCACAAGGCGGCCCATCCTTCAGCTCGCATCTCCTTGCACCAACGCTGCCCACGAGGTCTGCAGAGCTCATATTCTCTGCCATCACCGC